GAATTGTTTTATTCTTTAAGGGTATTAATTTTTTTTAAATTGCAGATTAATGTAAGAGTATGTATAGTTGGGTTACATTGTTTGCATTTGTTAGGTAGTGTCTGAGTTGTAGTTGAATCCTTTATCCAGTGATTAATCGTTTAAAAATAATTTTTTTGAGACAGAGTCTCACTTTATTGCCCCAGGCTAAAAGTATTGTGGTGTCAGCCTAGCTCACAGCAACCTCAAACTCCTGGGTTCACGTGATCCTTCACTCTCAGCCCCTGGCTGAGTAGTTAGGACTGTAGCACCCACCTCAACCTAAATTCTCTAATTTTAGTAGAGATGGGATCTCACTCTCACTCAGGCTGGGCTCAAACTCCTGAGCATAAGGAATCCTCCTACCTCAGCCTCCCAGAGTACTAGGATTACAGGCACGAGCCATAGCACCCAGCCCTTAAAATTTTTTTCTTCTGATACCTATGTTTTTTTTCTTTGGAGTTCCCTTCTTTTCTGTTTGTATTTCTTATTCTTTTTCCAAGTAAGAGTCTTCTTCAAATGATTAACAGTCCTTGATAATCTATCACTCTCTAATCCAAGTGGCATCTTACATCCAGACTTTATGATGGTTGATGCACGTGTAGAATAATGACTTATTTTTATGGGGCTAGATATAGTTTCAGAGTGTTTTGGTAAGTATTATTTCACTTACAGGTATTATTCTTATAATACCTATAATGAAGGGAAACAGTTCAGAGAGCTGCAGTGACATATATGGAATTATATAGCAAGTATGGCATAACTGAAATTTTAATTCAAGATTTATGTCACTATTTCATTATATCTATGAAAATTTTGAGAGTACTGTGTGTTTACTGTTTTATTTTTGTTTTAGAGACATAATAGGTTAGATGTGTATAGTTTTTAATTTTTCAAACTTCATTCACACCTGTTTTCTAATTTTTTCCTGAATATAAATATTAATGGCTATAAATTTCAGTTACAGCTGTTTTCAACATGTGATTATTTTCTCATCAGGCTGTGGGTAATGACAGTTAATGCACTTCAACCTTCAATAAAGTTTGTACGACAACAAAAGTATACTCAGAATGACCTCATGATAGATCCTCTTATTGTCCTAAGATGTGATCAGAGGGTTCACAGGTAGGTGTCAGTATAGAGGTATACTTTGGAAAGTTAAAAGAAATTGACTTATATTTTAGTGTTCTTGCAGATGACTAGGCAGTATGAAGTGTGTAGATTTTTGGTTTTTGTTTAATTGTATTTATTCGTGAAATACATATTCAGTTTAATATTTAATATGTGATTAGCCTTAGATCAGTATTGTTGGTTTTGGTATCCATCAGTAGTAGCTTTTCTTTCTCACGATCAAGATCAGTAAACAATAACACTATTTCTGCTTGCATGTTAAAAAAGACTTTTGAACAACTGATTTCATTGTGAATCATGACATGAATTAAAACTGTGACTTTGGCTCAACGCCTGTGGCTCAAGTGGCTAAAGTGCCAGCCACATATGCCTAAAGTGGCCAGTTTGAATCCAGCCCAGACCCACCAAACAACAATGATGGCTGCAACCAAAAAAAAAAAAAAAACAA